ACAATATCTCAAATAATGTAAAAGTAAATTATCTTACCATTAATACAGTAATTAATGCAGCAGGTTTGAGCGGGAAAATTCCAGCTGCTCTGCTTTAATATATATATAGATATAGATTTATACAACAGTTGGACAAATGAATTGTTAGTTTATCATTTTAATATCGATTATACTTGATTAGCTAAATAAAATTCACTAATATTTTTATAGTTTTTATTTTGTTTAAAAGAACAATAAACATGTATGTTTAAAATATTTAAAATCATGATTTATTCGGATTTACATTCGGATGTCTAAATTGTTTGGAAAAATAGGAGATTTATTTGGATTTTGATTCCTTATTGGTTACTTTGATGTTATTCNNAAAAAAAAAAAAAAAAAACAGAAAAAGCTGATTTACTATTTTTAAGAGATAATTAATGAAAATGACGGAAAATTGTTTCTAAATTTGATTTATGTTAATTCTTATTATATAGGATTAACATATATGTTAACATATATGTTAACTTATATGTTAACATATAAGTAACATATATGTTACTTTCACGTAAATACTAATATATATAAATTATTTCTAACAATTATTAGAAATATGATTGATTCTTAAAAAGAATCTTTAATTATTATTAATTAAATGTTTCATATTGTATTTTAAATTTTTTTATAAATACGTATGGTAAGTGTATTTATTAAATTAAGTGTATTAAATATGGTAAGTGTATTTCTTAGATTTATTTGGATTTTGATTCATATTTTTGATTGTATTCCTAAAAAAAAGATTTTGTTAATAAGTAGAGATTTTGTTAATTTACTACTTTAGGCAATAATTAATGAAATTGGCGGAAAAATGTTTCTAAAAGTGAATTATGTTAATCCTTATCCTTATTATATATTAATAGATTCCCTATCAAAGATTTTTCTGAGACAAATCTCAATGTGATTGTCTTTTCAATGGCACAAAAACCTTAAATTAATCTGTATTTATTTATATTTGAATTCCCCAGCATTTTTTCAACCATCACGAGACGAAATTACTGGCATCTTTACAAGGTGAAAAAATAATGAAAATTACAAAAGGCCATTGATGAATGAAAAGTCATGTGCTACAACTAGGAGTATAAAGTATAGGAGATCAACTTGTTAACCAAACAAGCTCAGATATCAATATTAACGAGAATGAGCTTTAATGAACTGACATGGGCCCTAGTCATTAACTGAACAAGTTTGATCAAATGATACGAGTCAAGCCAAGCTCACAATCGACTCGTTTAACATCTCTAGCTATAAAGCCTACAAATGATAAAAGTTACAATGTCAGATACAGAAAAAAACAAAAACAAACACACGTCCTTTCTATTCTTATGAGATGAAATTGAGTCATAGGTTATTTGTTCGAGTAGAAAGATGATTTGGTGCAGTTGGATTTTAGTATTTTACACAACGCATAGGAAAGCTTGCGCAACCATACTCTGCCCTTATATTCTCCAACATATCCAGTAAAATCAACAATGCTAGAAACACTCCAAAATCCTACTTTGGGGAAAAAAATAAATTATTTGAATCAAGTTTAACAATACAAGGAGGACTCCAAAATCCACATACTTCACTTGAAAAAATAAAGTTCTTCACTAAAGCAAACGAACAATAATTTCATGAGGACAAATCATGAAAACACCACAAAAAGGTCTAGTTTATTTTCCATTTCCTCATAATATGTGGTGTTCTCACGGGCCAGGATCAGAAATCACTTCATTTTCCAAATTTACCTTTTTGACCTGCAAAAATATAAATGTACAACTACAGGTGGGGGAAGTTAATAGTACGTACATCGGCCTATGGGGGGCACAAAGGACAAACCAGAAAGTTGCGCTTCTTTGGTGCACTGGCCCTATTCGCGAACATTGGATCGTCTTGCTCCACCAAGCCCGCCAGATCCTCACCAAACAAATCCACAAATGTTTTTTGCAGATCCTCTAGGCTCTCTTCCTTCTGGAAAATGGTTTTATTTATTGTTTTTAGAAAGAAAAGTACAGTCATTTTTCTACTGTACCCCCGGGAATGATATGAAATTCCATACCTCGGCCACAACGTTTTGTTCCATCATATTCATCAGGTCATGAAGGAAATCCCCCATACCCAGATGACCACAACCAACAAATTACAAGGAGACAGTTATGTAGTTCAAAAAAAAAAAAAAAATTATTTATGATTTGTATGTTCTTCGTGATCATGTACAAGTATTACTACTAAATAAAAAGTAGCAAGACACTTCAGTACGAATGAATGTCGATTCAAATTTCATAATCATATCGAGAATTTGAGAATTGAATTATGAACTTTATTACTATTTTTTAAACATAAGTAAAGTTTGCATATAAATGGACTGTTTTTGGGAATTCAGATAAAATCCCTACAGTTTGATATGATGCAATGTGAATAACATGAAACAAGTGAAGCACATTGTTCTTGAATCAACCCTTAGCCCAAGTAGCTGCCTCAGTATGTTTTGGCAGCATGACATGCTTGACATTTTAGGGAGCTACATGCCAAAACCATTTGCTTCAATTAATTATTTTTTAGTCTCTCATACTTCAGCTAACAACCATTGAACCCAATTTGCTAAATTTCTAAACATTCGTACCAACAATAGTCAATTGGGAATTTAAGTGACATTTCAAGACTTCTTAAAACTTGAGACTTTTTAGGATTTTCATATTTGAGAAGAATTCTATGAATCTTAAAGTGTAGAGGTAGGATTTGAAGTGGGATTTCGTATAAGGTTTTTTGTTTAAAAATCCCACCAAATCTTTAAAAGTCTTAATAAATCCCAGTGTCAAATAAATTAAATACTTCAGGATTTTGTAAGAATTTTGAAAATCTCAATTGAATACCTCAGGATTTTTAAAAGTCCTAAAAAGTCTTAACAAATCTAAATTGAATACACCGAGATTTCTAAAGTCTTAAAAAGCCCTCAAAAATTCTAATTGAATACACCCCTCTATATTTCCTTTAATTTATACTATCAATAATAGCCTTCCTAGGAAGTACATAGACTGATACATAAATCAAATTCCATATTTCCTTGTTTATAGATAAATTTAAATTTATTTTCAATATCCCCAATTACATTACATATAATCATACTTCAAAAATAAATGTATATTCTGTTTTTTTTTTATATATATTTCTTCATTCACACACTTATTATTAAAATAATTTTAATTATTTTAAGAAATATCATAAATAGATAAAACAATTAGCAATGATCATAAGATTTCAACTCTAGATATCTAAAACTACGAACCCATTTACTCATCCACTCATAAAAGAATACATTATTCACCTATCTCACTTCTCTCTCTTATATCCACTTACATTTTTAAATCATTACTACACAACATTTGTAAAATCTACTATTTCGGGTTGGTTAAATGCTATTAATGAAAATGTACACTTAACATATTTATAACTATTAATATCTTACTTATGTTAATATCACATTATAATTAGTTATTATTCTTTATATCACATTACTTTACATTAAAAAAATCAATAATTCTTCAACCAATATTTCACCAATAAAAAATTCAACAATAGAAACATCACTATAACTTTTCACATTTAACTTTGAAGGCGTATGGTCCTATAAAATGCGACGACACAAAAATATTGACTTTTGCTAATAGTAAAAGCATGTGAAATGCAAGAGGGTAAAAAAATTATAAATTCTTGCATGACGCCATAATGATTAAACATGTCAAACAAATGTGTGCATAAAAAAGTATAATGCTATGGTTGGTAACCAAATAACCAAACTTATAGCTATTTGGTTAGCTTAATATAAGCTTCTTAGTTTAGTTTGTTTGGTAGGACGAGTTTTTTTTAAAAAGTTCAAGTTTATCTCATATGCTTCTTTGGACAGCTTTACAAATAAACTCGTTGAAATTTATACTTCAACTAACTGCTAATTTTACCACATTTTCATCATATAAGCTAGTTTTTCAACAAGCTATAAGTTATAAGCTCGAAAATCAATTATAAGCTATAAGCTAGCTTATGAGCTGAGCTGATACATGATAGCTAGTTTTACCAAACATAACCTAGTAATCTACCTTTGCTTGCAACTCAACTCACATTAGTCTCACCATAAAATGAACTGCCATAGAAAGTTATCTGAGATATTTAGTGGCTCTCACAGGAAAAATATATTGCTAAGAGAAAGATATATGAGATATTTTGTGGCACGCACCTCATCTTCCTCGAATAGATCAAGGAATCCGACGTCGTACATTGTTCTCTTATCCTTGTCGGACAACACTGTACCATAAAAAATTACATGCAAAATAAACAATCAATTCGACCTCAAAACGGCTTTGATTCAGCAATTTTTCTTCTTCCAATAATGAATCGAGATCAATTCAGAAGTCTCCATATGAACCAACCAGCATAGGCCTCATGAATTTTCTGGAATCGGCATTTGGCTTCACCGGCGGCCGACGGGTTCTTTGCCCACCTGTCCGGATGCCATTTCTTCCCAAAATCGA